ATGTTGAAATTCACAGAAATATGCATTTTGAGGAGAATGAAGAGCTCCCTTTGCCCAATTTGTGGGTATCCTAGAGCAAATAGTAGATTCTGAGGTTAGAATCAGACAAATATATGGTCACATTCCCCCGCAAACTTTCAACCAAATGAAAAAGAGAAACTGCTGTTAGGAGAATGGGCATTGGATTATTACCTCTATCTATGATAATGGTGATTTTCAGAACAAGGGTGACCCATGATAACCTAAAGGTGTCCTAATTCTGAATCCACAATTAGACCTGAGCAGCAATCACTGGCAGGGGAGGTCACCCCACACAGAGAAACACCTGACTCAGTAAAGCTGCACATAGGTGTCTCTGAGAGCCTTGAGTTGTACAAGAACAGCTCCTACTTCAGGTTCAGAGTGAGAACAATCTATCCTTTACTGCAGGAGACAAGGCTTAGTGTGTGGAAAAACAGAATTTTCCTACTTAATATCTCAGTGCTGGCCCAGAGAATGAACCCACCCATCTCCTCAACATCAGCGAGTCCCACAGACCAGGCAGGCACCCAGCTGCTGCTCTGTGACATTCATCACCTGGTTTGTGCCAAAGACACCCATCCTGGAAACTCCTCCAGGATAGTGACTGTGGACAGTGAAGATACTAAGGTATGGCTGCTGCTGGGCACATGGGGGACTCCCGGTGGTTAACTGTGCTCAGGGAGGAACCAATGGACCTGACGGACCTAGCATGGAACGCTGGGGAGTTAGGAAGCTCCATCAGCTTCCCACCCTTCTCCATCAATAGTTGTGAGATTGGCATCATGGGCTGACAGTGTCTACAGCCTCACCCGGCCTCCTGTGCATTTTTCTGCCTTCATTAGTTAAAACTGCCTTTGCTACATGTGAGAATATTTATTTCTATAATACCAAAGTTTTCTAACCCAGAAACTTCAGTAGTAGGAGCAGAACCACAAGTAAACAGAGGATTCCAGGAGAACTGTTAGAGTCGGAGAAATCCACAGACCCTCCCCGAAAAAGCAGATCTTAACCTTCATCTTCACCTGAGCCTGGAACTGCCCCTGTGTTATTTGGGTGCTGAGTGCCCCCTGCAGCCCAGCCTCCTTCTTTCTCCCTGCAGGAAATTGTGTGTCTGGGCTCAAACTGATGTCCCATCACTTGGTACCTTTCACACAATAATACAGGGCCAAGTCCGGCTCTCAGACTATTCATTTGCAGATACAGCAAGTTGTTGGCGTTGTCTCTGGAGATGGTGAATCTGCCCTTCCCAGAGTCTACTTAGTATGTTTTCCTTCCTTTATACTTTACATCTATTACTCACTGCAGCCCCTTCCCTGGAGCCTGGCCTATTCAGCTGATCCAGCAACTACTGAAGGTGGATCCAGAGGCTGCACAGGAGAGTCTCAGGGACCCCCATGGGCTGTACCAAATCTCCACCAGACTCCATCAGCAGCAACTCACACTGGACACCTGCAAACAAAGAGACACTGTGATCAGAAGCTGCCACGCATATCCGCTCTTTGTTTCATTCACATCCAGTCATACTTAGCATCTCTAGGTCTTCAAATATCACCTTTAAAAACAGCAACAAGGAAAGCCCAGCTTAGCCCAAACCCCACCGTGAGTCGCTTGTATTCACTCCTGATCACCAAGTGGAAGCACCTGGGAATCAAGCTGGCGCTCCTCTTTCAGAGCTACAGAAAATGGGCTGGGCTGGTTTTCATCAGAAGAGGGAAGGCCCTCTTTGCTGGTCTCCTCCTCTATAGCAAGATCTGGGGATGGACGCCTGAGGGGAGAGCAGGGCCCAGAGCAGATGTGAGACTCCTGGAGGAGTTTAGAGGCAATGGCAGCATTTGGGACAATATAATTTCTTATTATGTGATTGCACCATTAAAATTACTAAGCAATTATTATTATTTTTACACATATGTATTATACAAATAGAAATATAACTGCATTAAGCAAACTTTAAGAGTTATAAAGGGATAAATAGGAAACAATAAGAAAATAGGAGCCTTCAACACCTTACTTTCAATAATGTATAGAACATCTAGAAAAAAAAAATCTTAAGAAGACAGTGGACTTGAACCATGCTATTAATCAAAGTAACCTAATAGAAATTTACAGATAATTTCAACCAACCGCAGCATAATATGCACGCTTCCCAAGTACAGACTAAATATTCTCCATGATAGGTTATATGTTAGATGAAAAAATAAGTCTCAACATTTGAAAAAGTAATACCAACCGTTCTCTGACTTTATCAAAAATTGGTGTGGCACCCACCTTTCAAATGCTTTCTATAAGGCCACAATTACCATATTACCACTAACAGACAAGGGCAAAAGCAGAAAAATAAACTACAGGCCAGTATTTCTAATATACATAAATAAATCTACTGCCCAATAATTACCAACTATATTCCACAAGACTTTAAAAGAATCATACACCATTCAACTCAAATTTACTTTTGAGATGCAGCGATAATTCAATGTCCTCGAATCAATAAATGTGGTATGCCAAATTAAGAGAATAAAATTAAAAATCCCATTAACTTCTCACCAGACACAGAAAATTACATTTTTAAAATGCAAAGTTTCATGATAAAAACTTCAAACAAAGTAGTAATACAAGAAAATAACATGTAAATAATAAAAGTCTTATGAAAAGCCATAGCTACTTATGAAAAGCCATCAACTACTTAATGGTGAAAGATTAAAATGTTTTGTCCCGATATCTGTAATAAGGCAAGAATAAACTTGGAGTTATCTTATTTCTAAATTTCAAAGCTAATTACAAAAATTGAGCAATAAAAACAGGAGGCTATTGGTATAAATACATATAGAGAGCTCAGAAATAAGATTATATATTGATGGCAAACTAATTTTCAATGTGAAAAACAATATACAATGGCTAAATCATAGTCTCTTCCAAAGAGCGTATTAGAAAAAGTGGATTTATACATGCAAAGAATGAAGAATTTTAGGTTAGAATTAATATGAAAATGAACTCTAAATGGGTTAAACTGTTAAATATATGGCCTGCAATTATAAAATTTTCTCTCCTGCAAAGAATTAGGAATGATTTTTCTAGATTTTATACTAAAAGCACAGACAACAAAAGCAGAATTGAACAAGTGGGACAGCATCAAAATAGAAAGATCCTGCAAAACAAGGAAAAAATTCCAACTTACAGAATGGGAGAATATAGTCGCAAGCCATGCATCTGAAAAAGTGAGGATATCCAAAATATACATGTAAATTATAAAACTCATTAGCAAAATTATAATAGCCTAATTATAAACTGTTCTGTTTTACACCTTAAAAATTTTTTAAGAATGTAGATCTCATGTTAAAGTTTGTTCTCCATGGGCAATTACAAGTTTTATGGTAAAACAGGCAAGGCTATACTTTGTAATTATTCAATCCAACACTAATCTAGGGGGTGTTGTAAATATCCTTTATAAATTTTGTTAAAAATGTCATCAGTTGCCTCTAGGTTAGGTAAATTGTCACTGATAACCTGGGTGGGCCTGATTCCATCAGAGCAGAACTGGAGTAGGTGAAATTCCATGGTGATTCACACTTCTGCTCTCTCTGAGACTTCCAGCCTGCACTTACTGATGACTTATCTCATGGACATTGTACATCCCTAGCCATCTCCCCAAATTGTCATCTTCTACATCTCACAGAAAGGTGGCATGTTCATCTGTAGCTTGTCAAACCTGAAAAAGAGACAGAAAGAGAGTCTAAAATAAAATAATGTTTATTTGAGGATGGCCATCACAATGGGAATATGCAAGGTTGCATTCAGGTAGGTAAAGGAAGACGAGGGTTTTGAAAGAAAAATGAGAAGGGTTAGATGAGCAGTTTTGAAACAATTATTCTAGGCTAGAAGAATGAACAACAAGGGTGACATCAGTGTAAGGTTGAACAGGCAGATGCTGGGCAGATGCACTTCGAGAAGTAACTGGTTTATGTTGCAGTGGCCTTTGTGCAAGTGGCCTTTGTGCAAGGTTGTGGTTTTTCAGTCTATTTACGATAGTTCTTGTTATCAGGGATGAGTGTGAGAACCCTCCCTCATGGCCTTCTCCAGCTTCACTCGTCAGGGTTTTAACACTAGTGGCTCCGTTTTTATTCTGGCAACTTTGACACCCACTTTATACCACTGCTGCTGAAGAAGGTGATCCCATGGCAGTTTGCACAGCACAGGATCAATTCCGCATCCACATCTCATGTTGACCAAGCAAGCTTATCGCCTGCAGTTCCCACCGGCCATTTGCATTCCCAGATGAGTCTACACAGAACACAGTGTAGGGTCCTGAGCAATGGGAGTGAAGACAGTCTCATCAGTCGCTCCCACATAGCTGCAGGAGCCACAGCCTGAGACCCACCTGAGCTCCAAGAAAAGAGCTTGAGCCCTGGAATTTAGACCACAGAAATCACATTTTACTTTTCAGGGAGCAGGAAAAGCCAATGAAAAAGGAAGAACGACAACTAAAAAGCGAAAAAAAAAAAACCATGAATTGCAGGCAAAAGCAACATTAGATCCGTGCTGATTCTGATTTACATACTTCAGTGTCAGGAGAAGGATCAGGCATAAAACCTGTGAGGTTCTACATGACACTGACCCCGGCCCAGCCTCTCTCTTTGTTGTAATCAGAATCCTAAAGACTGTTCTCATCAGGGAATCTTTCTGAAGTTCCTGTCCTGAGTCTGATTGGAGAAGACTCACCAGGAAGCCCTGAGCTTCCTCAGGACTCTGATTCTGGTGGCCATGGTTGAGGACTTTTCATTTCTGTAAGCATCAATCTGCATTTTGTGCATATGAGAAGAGATTCTCGTATTAAAATAATCATTTAAAAATATGTAGAGATGATATTTTATAAGAACAGAATTCCGAACTTAGAGAGGTTCACTAGAGGAACTATAAAAAGATGACGTCCCACGTCCTGACAGGAAATCAGCCTCCATCTGCACCTGCCTCCGGGTTGACTCTGATCAGTGGGTCCCGAGCGCCCCCTGCCGCTGATTTCCCCCCGCGTTCCTGCAGGGAGGTTTGTGTCTGGGCTCACACTGACTCCCCCTCACTGTGTCTTTCGCACAGTAATAGACAGCCGTGTCCTCAGCTCTCAGGCTGTTCATTTGAAGATACAGTGTGTTCTTGGCGTTCTCTCTGGAGATGGTGAATCTGCCCTTCACGGAGTCTGCGTACCATGTGCTACCCCCACCATTATTAATAGCGGAGACCCACTCCAGCCCCTTCCCCGGAGCCTGGCGGGCCCAGTGCATGCCATAGCTACTGAAGGTGAATCCAGAGGCTGCACAGGAGAGTCTCAGGGACCCCCCAGGCTGTACCAAGCCTCCTCCAGACTCGACCAGCTGCACCTCACACTGGACACCTGCAAACACAGAAACACCAAGGTCAGAAACTGCCACACATAACCACTTTCACTCATGTCCCCTCACACTCAGTATCTCTAGTTCTCCATGAATCACCTTTTAAAATACCAACAAGGAAAACCCAGCTCAGCCTAAATTCCATGGTGAGTCTTCTGTCTTCAGTGCTGATCACTGAATGAAAACACCTGGGAATCCCAAGGCTGGGGCTCCTCTCCCAGAGCTGCAGGGTCAGGGCTGGGCTGCTTTTCATCAGCAGAGGGAGGACCCTATTTGCATGTCTCCTACTATATAGCAAGCTCTGGGGTGGGTCGCTGAGGAGAGGGCAGGGCCCAGAGCAGATGAGAGAGTCCTGGGGGATTTTGATGACAATGATTGTGTTTGGGAAAATGTGCTGTCTTGTGAAATTGTTCTGTGATAAACATTTAACAACTATCACATTTTTAATTATGTTTACTTATGTGGATAAATTATGTTATTTAGGAGTCAGTGGTTTCTTCATGTACAGATGTAAAAGTGAACCCACACATGGAGGGGCTGTGTATGTGTCTAAGGGCTGACATCTGGCATGAGTGAGTCCTAGTATCTGGGCCTATGCTCCTCACAATTGGCCTCAATTCCTCTCTGAACCAACTCGAGGACAGAGCTAAATGTACCTAGTGTGGTTTGCAGAATCCACTTCAGTCACGAGAACCTGTGTGATTTTGCTGAATTTACCTAAAAATATGGAGACGAGGTTCAGGCAGATAAATGTTTAGGTATCCCTGATATTTAACATATTTATTTGTTCCTTCCTGTCATTCCTTTTTTTTGTCTAAAATTTCAGTTGTTTACTTGTAATAAATTTTGTAAGTTTTAATTGACAGATAATAAAATTCACATATTTAACCTGTACAATAGTAAATGTTAAAAAAAAGGTCTACTTTCAAGAAAGTGACAAGTCAGCTCCTCTCAGCATTCCTCTTACTCTTTTATATATATTTTTTTCTTCCCTTCATCTACCATTTCTTTAGAAAACTCTGATGTTTTCATATTTCTTTAGACTACTTTTTATTTTCTAGAGTATGTAAGAATAAAATAATATAGTATATACCCTTACCTATTTGGTTTATTTTTTCTCAATAGAAATACTGAGAATTAAACTTTTTATGTTATATGTGTTTATTTCTTATAAATAATGGGTAGCATTTCAGAAAACAAATGTGGCATAATTTGTTTTACTATTAAGTTGCTAATTGATACCTGAATTTTTTATTACTCTATGTCTTACTAATAAGTCTGCTACTCAGCTTGGTAATGTACATACATGAAAAATTATACATAAATTATATAAATATATTTCTTTTTACAACAATAACAGATTAAACAAGGGAATGTACAGTTTGGCAAATTTTCTTTAGTATTTCAGAAATTGAAGTTATGAGAAAGAAAACAGACCTGTAAACCAAAGAGTGTCTGAGACTAATCTCAATAGATTTAGGAAGTTCATTTTTCCAAGATTAAGGACTTGCCAGTGACACTGTCTCAGGGAGTCCTGACAATATATGCCCAAGGTTGTGGGGCACAGCTTGGTTTTATACAATGTAGGGAGACATGGGACATTAATTAATATATGTAAGATGTACATTGGTTTGGTTCAGAAAGGCAGGACAACTTGAAGTGCAGTGAGTGCTTCCAGATCATAGGTAAGTGTGAGACAAATGCTTGCATTCTTTTGGATTTCTGATTAGTCTTTAACTGAATGCACAATTTGTAGGAATAGTCACATAGGCCTTAGTCTGGCTTAGCGAAACAATAGAGCAAAGGGAGCAATCAGGTACACATTTGACTTACATGAGCAGGGAGATGACTCTGTCCTTGGTACAAAAGGATCTTCCTTGTGGGTCAAATTTTGAAGGCGGTATGGTTTTAAAAATCGTAGTAACTATCATTTTAGGGAAAGAATGGGGGGTGGGTTTGCCCCAGTTTCCAGGTTGACTATTCCTTTTGGCTTAGTGATTTGGGAGTTTCAAAAATTTATTTTCCTTTCACAAACATGGAAATCTTGGGAGAAGCCAGTTCTTGTAGAAACAAAGCCATAGTGTTAGCTAAACTGAGGCAGAAGCTGCCATATGAAATACAACCTATTACAAGATAAAGCTACAAACATGTATTGGATTGTTTAAATTCCAGTGTGGTTAACGTGTTGTCGTGTGAAATTCTCAGGAACCACATACTGAAGGGCACTGATAAAGTGAATTATATACGGCCTGAGAAGGACTCCGTACTTCTATGTTTGAGTCTTTGTGGACAAACCGTAACCTGCCTGAACAGGGAGACAACGTTGAAAACCTGACATAGGAGTATGCACCTGTAACAATAGCTGAGTCTTAGCCAATTCCAGCAGCCATACCTCAACCACTCATACACTCTCGAGTGTGCAAACTGTGTTTAAATAAGGCAAATTCAACCTGTAACCAATCCAGCTGTTTCTGTACCTCACTTCTAATTTCTGTATACCATTTTTTAAATCTATAAATCTTCTTCCACCACATGACTGAACTAAAGTCTCTTTGAATCTGCTGTAATTTTGGGGCTGCCTGATTCTTGAATCATCCATTGCTCAATTAAACTCATTTAAATTTAATTAAGCTGAAGATTTTCTTTGACCAGCATTCTTATCCTGCTGAATCCCTTTGCCCTAGAATGGGGACAGTCAGAAAAATCTTCCTTTCCTAAAGTGTCTAAGAGAGAGGGAGAGCCCATACTCCTGAAATGCATTCAGACCCACCTCCCTCATCAGCACTACAGAACTAAAGTATTACCTACCCTGCAGGGGCCAGCCACTGAAACCATTATTCCAGAGGCAGTGGTGGAGCCCCAGAGGAAATGAAATAAAAACCGAGGTTCTAACCAAAGTTCCATAGAGATGCACCTCCACCTGTCATGGGATCAGATTCTTAATCTGCAGGGCATGGCAGCAGATCTAGGTGATGTTAGTGGATATTGGAGCTGTGGGAGGGAACAACTAGGAAAAACAGGAGAAAATATACATGTTTAACTCAGTAGACTTCAAGCTACTTACATGTTAATTAGGCAGAATATTTCCAAGCTAAAGACCTGATCTAGCATGAGAAATAATATAGAGATGACACATGGAGAATGCAACAGTGGGAAGCTGAGGTTCAAGTTCTAATGTTTGTTTACTGATATTTGTCCCCTGGCATGTCCAGAACTTCATGAGTACAGAACTCCTCTAACAGAGAAACAAACTCTCACAGGACATGGTCCTCAAAATGATCTTCAAATGGCACATTAACAACCTCAAACTTTTTTGGGTTTTGCCCTCTGCAGGTTGAACTCCTGGCGTGACTGTGTCTCTCAATGCTTGCACACACTGAATTGATAAAATTATTTTGTTCTGCATCTTCCAACTATTAAGATATCTGAAAACTCTAAAATTTTCTCCTTTCAAGTTTGGTTCTCATTGACTCATTGGGTTAGGTAAATGCTCCAGGTATGGTAGGATATGGAAAGACACATTGGTAGTTTTTGCTAAATTATTTATGTTTTATTTTATTTTTATTTTAAAAAATAAAGATGAAGCCTCACTATGTTTCACAGGCTGATCTCACACTCCTGAGTTCATGAAATATTCCCACCGCAGCCTCTCAAATTTCTCGGATTATAGGTGTAAGCCACTGTGCCTGGACATTGATTACTTACTTTAACTTTTTTAATTGCATTTTTGTTTTGAAATAAGTGTAATTCAGCTGCTGGAAAAATTTTCTCCTCAGACTCCTCTGCAGCAGCTCCAGGACTGAAATCTGTGTTGAGTGGACTCTGGGCCTGCCCTGCAGCTCTGCCCTCACCCTGCTGGGGACGATGCTGTTTGGGCTCACAGAGCATGGTCTCCCAATGTCGCTCTCCCAGAATGAAGGGGCTGTCCACAGTTCACAATGCTCTTTCAGCAGCATCTAGTACTTTTAAAATTGTCTCTTGAAGCAGACATTTGGCATCACTATACCCAGTAAACTGCAGGGAGAGCCCAACACAGATTTCACAAAACCACCAAAGAGTCTCTTCCCTGGGACTGTCAGATGCAATGACACAGTCAAGATCCACGGTGAGTCCAGAAACTTTCAGATAAATTGTAGGAGCCTCTTATTTCTTTTAGAATTCTCTATTCAAATGTCACACCAAATAGTATCTCCACAGAGAGAACTACATGGTTCAAAGCCCACAAAAATTAAAACACACATGTACACACACACACATACACACACACACACACATTGGTATGGCTGATTTTTACAGTAATTGGCTCCTAATTTGGGATCTTTCCTAGTGTAAACCAAAGGTTTCTGAGACAGATCTCAATCAAATTAAAATTAATTTTGTTAAAGTTAGGGCATGCCTGGAATGAAAATAAAAGTAATCACGGAAACTGTGTGGTCTGTGCCATTCCCCAAAGACAATTTTTAGGTCTTTCAATACATAAAAGGGGAAAGTTGGCTAGAGGGGAAAGAGGGATGGTATGAAAATCTACCTGTTATAATGAAAAAGAAGTGCATAGGGAAATAGAAAATTATGTCAGCATTTTACATAAAATAAAATGAACAAAGAGTAGCTATCTGTGAAGATATTTAACTTTTTATCTGTGGCTATTGTCTCAGGAATGAAAGGAAAATCAGTTTCTTGCATGGATCATCCTTTAGGTTTTTTTCCTCCTCGTGTCACAATGAATTGAGATCACAAGTTTTATTTTCCTTTCATATTTTCCCCACATTTTCCTTTTCAAAATCTTTCAGTGTAAACTCATTAGTGTAAACTCAGTGTAAAATGTAAACTCATTACAACCAAATGAGTTTCTGGTCTCCTGTTTTGTTTTATCTTTCATGGGTAGGACAGATTATTACTAGATAAACAGGTCCCATGTTGTTAGTATAGCTCACTGTTACCTATCTTTCAAATGACGGGAAGTTTCACATCCCATTAATAAGAAAATAGTGGGAGAAAAAGAAAAGTAGAATATAGAAAAGCAAGGGGGAAATAACAAACAATAATAAAGGGGAAACAATCCTGGAAACTGATACAGGCCTTGTAACTCTGAAGGCTGTACATGAGTAGGGTAAACAACAAATATCTGAGACAGGTCTCAGTCAATTTAGGAAGTTTATTAATATGATTTGTCTGTGTCCCCATCCAAATCTCATCTTGAATTGTAGTCCCACAATTTC